TTTATCAGGGATATTTGATAGAAAGTTTTATTTCCTCATTTATTACTTCTCCTTTTGTGCCAGCTGTACTGATTTTGTTTGTGCAAAAGTTTTTTTTCTTTTTGTTTTCCAATTTCACATAATCAACATTAAATGCTTTTGTGATTATTTCTACCCTTACAGCTTATTTATTGCCCTCAAATCTGAAGTTCGATAACTTAAGTAGTATCTTGATGCCATTATTAAGTAGAAAGGACCTTTTAATCCATGTGTAAAACATGTGAAAATGGAATAATTCTAGTTTGCTTGACTATTTTCAAACATAGACTTAAGTTTCTGTTTTTACTAATCAAGGCGTCTATAAATTTCCTAAATACCATTCTGTCCCCACCAGGGGGAGGTAGACTTAATTTCACATGGAAGACAAATTCTGTCAATAACTATTTGTTTATTCATATGGAAGAAGTTATTCTGTCAATAACTATTTGTTTATTACAAGAACTGTTTTTGGGTTTTAGTTTAGTCTTCTTCCATGCCAATGATTCTCACCTTTTCCCATGGTGGCAAAGCCCTTTAGTTGAAATAAATCTTTGGAAGAAGCCTTGTCATAAAACGATTCAAAATTATTATTTAACACATATATTTACATATATATCCAAAATTATCATTTAACATATATTAACAAAAATGTAAAATTATAAAATTCATTTAAAAGGAAACTTGATGTGTTTCTGGGTTTCTTAGAATGATTTAGAAACATTGCTCTATGAAATTAAAATATAAGAGGATAGACTTAAAAGATAAAAAGTTACAAATTACTAATCTTACCAGGGCAGCAAGGTGGCACAGTGAATAGAGTGCTGGGCCTGGAATCATGAAAACTTATCTTCATGAGTTCAAACCTGGCCTCAGACACTTACTAGCTGTGTGACCCTAGGCAAGTCACTTAACCCTCTTTGCCTCAGTTCCTCACTATAAAATGAGCTGGAGAAGGAAATGGCAAACCACTCCAGTGCCAAGAAAATCCAAAAATGGGGTCATAAAGAGTCAGACACAGCTGGAAATGACTGAACAATAACAACATTGATCTTACTATGTAACATTACAGTTGGAAATGGACTTTGGCCTTTTAATACTATTGAAGTATAAACTGATCTCTCTCTACACAATTCCTGCATCAGTGATGGTTTGTGTACCATAATATTTTACATTTAGTTTTAAATTATTGTGTTATTCTCTAATTGCTTGTCCTGTGCTATTTTTGTGTCTAATCAAAAATTGTTTTTCATATAGCAACTAGCAAAATACTGAGCATATATAGTAGGTTTCCAACAACTACCTGTTAGTTGATTGTGTTCCATTTATATTATAGAAATTGTGGTCATAAATTATAGGAGTTAGGAGATGGCTTTTGAAACCATTGATTTGACCTTTTTCATTCATGAGAAAACTGAGTCCTAAAGAGTTGAAATTAATTTGCCCTAGGAGATATCACAGTAAGTATCAGAACTAGAGTTTGACATCAGATCCTTTAAAGACAAATCCAGTTTCCAGGTTAACTTCTGTGAAATAAACTATTTTTAATGATTGGAGGCAAAGTTCCGATTCAGGCATCCTGATGAATAATACACTGAATGGCTAAAGAAGCCATCACCCCCTCTCCCTTTTAACCACTTAACTCATCATGTAACTGTGTAATTAGAGGATCAAGGTAGCAGAAGGTATCATTTGGTCACCAAAGCAAATTAAAGCTTGAGATTTGCATTTGAAATAAGCTACAGCAGATAGTATTCAAAATACAGTAGTTCATTAATGTCATGTCAGTGCCCCATATCAATTCTTATGACATTAAATATTTAGGGCACCTATATCTCATATTGCATGAATGTTTCCTCTTCCTATAATGTGTTCCCAATAGAACATAAGTTTCTTGAGGGCATGAAATCAATTTGTAACATTATATCCTCAAACCTAGCATAGTGCTTCTTATTTAGGAGGCATTTAATTCTTACTAGTTGATACAATGAGTCAACAAAAGCGCCTCCTAAGAGAGCATACAGGAAAGCAAAGAGCAGTCGCATGGGGAGTTGTTAATTTAGACTTACCTTTTTGGTTTAGTCATGATATTTTGTGTGTGTGTGTGGTGTGTATGTGTGTCCTTGTCTAGACAAAGCACAGCATACAACTGTGTCAATTTTTTTTTTAAAATGTAAAATGGGGAAATAACTGTTTGTTTGCCTCCAAAAGATGTTGCCAGGAGTAATAAGAATTATTCACTGGTTATCCTAGGGCTAAAAATCAAGAAGCAACATGGAAACAGAGGCAGAAAACAGGGTGAGATTACATAGTTTCCATTATAATATTCCAAAGGTGGAATTATCAGGTCAGGTGAAGAGTCCATGAAATTATTTCAATAGGTAAGTATCAGTTTAGGTGAAACAAGTTTTAAGAGTGATTTAAATTCTTCTGATCATAAAAATTATCTGGCAAAAGGCCCCCAGAAGGTGGCATTGTTTATACTATTGTCTATGAGAACAATTGTTTACACTTTCACTCCATTCATGGTCTGTTAGTAAATTTTAGACAAATATCTGATGTTGCTCTGAGAATAAGTGTGTTTGACAAAGGAAAATATAACTGTAAAAGGACTTTAATATGAACTTCAATTTCTTCACTGTACATGAGTCCATATATGCACATTTACATATGGTTTCCAAATATTACTAATTACTTGAAGATCATCTATGATTCTGGGACTAAAAACAGATTTCCCTGATTACCCCTTCACATTTAAGAGGCCTCTTCACTGGTAGTGCTAGAATCATTTTAAACCATTCTGTTTGGAAAGCAAGCTTGTGTTTATTATTAATTTTTAAATTTTTATTTCAATTGTCACATTGTAAGCTAACTTATTTGGGGGAATGCAGTGAGAGAGAATAGAGAAAGCACTGGGAGTTAGCTTTCCATTCTCAACAATTTCCTCAGTAGCAAAAGGCAAATGTTGAGCCAGATGATCTCTAAATTCCCTCTAACTCTGACATTTTACAGTTTCTTCTGCCTGGGTTTTGCAACACTCTGATTTTAAAGCATCAATTGGACTAATGTGCATATGTTTCCACAAAATCTAGTGGCCTAAGCAGTACATCTGATTTTGAAAATCCCATTTCTCGGTAAGGGATGGGCATTCATTCATAACTAACAGGGACCTACCAATTTTATCTCCCCCCTGCAACAAAAACTGGATCACTAATGAATTTCTATACTTCACTATAGCACTGTCAGTTTGGGGGTGAAACACAGATATATGAAAGTTAAGTCTCATGAATTGTTCAAATGGAGATGCTACTTGAAGAATACACCAACAGCTTACTAATCGCTACACAACTGGTATTCTTGCAAAACACAACCAGTATATGCACCCTACAGAGTCCACAATGGTAAAATTGACATTAGAATATTTTCTTTTGAGAAAAAGGTTGAAAAAAAATCACTCCTAATTCTCACTCTAAGCCAGAAAAGAAAAGTAAGTATAAGTGCTTTACTTTGTTAGAGGTTGGCACATTTCCTTAAAATCAAAATAAGTTAAATTATGACAAAGCTTCAGAGATTCTGCGTATAGACTAGAAGCCCAAGGCTGGACCACACTTTCTAATTTGGAGCATTTGACATAAATGAAAGGATTTTCCCCCTGTTTTTGCCTTTGTGGTAAAGTCCTCACAACCTAGCCAGCCAGACTGTATCATTCCTCTCTTCTCCCTTCAACAAACACTGATTTACCTCTGGGAACCAACTAGAGGCAGTAGTCTCTGAACTAGGCTGCTAACGCATTACGCCTTATCAAAAGGATTAGGAGTCTTCGATTCCAAGTAATATACTGGACAACAAGAAAAGAGACATAAGTGGAGGAAGAAAGATCATAAAACACTGGGGGAAAAAAAGGTATCGGGATGGGGTGGGGGAGTAGAGGCGTGAGAGAGAAAGGGTGGAGGTTAGAAATCGAACCAGATAAAATATGTATTTTTTTTTCAACCTGCCAATGTCAGTTTCTTTTCCCATTGGAGGAAAATCAATGAGACTGACAAAATTGAAATTTTTCAGCCCCCCCATCCCAATAAACATCTTAAATAAAATCGCTCTCCATAGAAGTCTTTCCTTAACTGCTCCATCTCCGTCCTCCTCCTTTTCTCCACCTTTTAAAAATTCTTCACTCTGCCAAGCTTTGTTTTAGAATATCCTCTACTTCCGTGTGTGTGTGTGTGTGTGTGTGTGAGTGAGTGAGAATGAGAGAGAGAGAGAGAGAGAGAGAGAGAGAGAGAGAGAGAGAGAGAGAATGAATCCCTTTCTTTTCTCCCCTGTCTTCCCAGGTAGCTTATGTGCGCGGCTGCAACTCTTCTGCTGCTGCTACGGCGGCGGTGGCGGTGGTTTGCTGCTGCTGCTGCTATCCGGGCTGCCTTCACCTCCTCCGGTGAACCAAGGAATGTTGTCACTGTCTCAGTCACTGACGCTGCTGTTGCCTCTCGCTGCTGCCACTGCCTCCACTACCGCCGCTTATCAGGAAAGGCCTGCCTAGTGGGGCAAAGACCCGCCCAGTCAACCTTCTTATAGGCGATCTAGGGCGGGTCTCCAGGACAAGGAGGCGGTGCAGCACCACCCCACTTGCCTATAAGGAGCTGTACACCGCCCGAGTGCTGATTCCAGCCCTCCTAGCCAGGAGGTGGATTCCGCTGCCAGTAGATCCCAGCAGCGCTTGTTGCTGCAGTTCGGTTGGGGTTTACACCTTTAAGGAGTGGGGGAAGAGGAAGAAGAGGAAGAAGGACGAACAGCAGTTGCAGCAGAAGCCCAGTAGCCCGAGGAGGAGGGCAAGGAGGAGGAGGAGAGGCAAGACCCCCAGTGACCATTTTGGTCTTATGTGGCTGGGCTCGGGATGGAGTGAACAAGCTAGTGACTGGAAAAGGGGGGGTGGGTCGGGGTGGGTGGGGGGAACACTGTGCAGAGGCTAGAGAGAAAATAGGAAGCTCGACTGGTCCCTGCGAAATTCGGGATTAAATTGGGAGAGACCGCTTGAGGGAAATGGATTCTGTACCCTCACTGGCCAGCGTTTTGACTTTACTATTCTCCGTCTTGTGGCATATAGGATCTACAGCTACAAACTGTAAGTAGCCAGGGTCACGGAAAGGAGCTGGGAGATGGGGGGAAACTGGCGTTAGGACGGCCAGTTAGCCACCTTCTGTATATATCTTATTTTTGCTTCTCTTACTCGGTTAGGAGAGAAGGTGCCAATAGGTGTGGATCTCTTACTCAAATCATTCTAAAAGTTAGCTATGTTTAGATTCACCAGCTTTGCTAGGTCCCTTGTCTTTAAATGCTAAAATTCAAAGTTCTAAGGAAACTGAAAGTCTTTGCTTTTATCTTGAAGCTAAGTCTATCCTCCCAGTTTCTTCCTTAGCTGAGAACCTTTCCTCTGACCCGGCTTCTCCAGAGAACAGCGCTTGGCTCAGACTGTATGACACTTGGGGTTGCTAGCATTAGAGAGATTCTCTGAGCCACCTCTCGCAGTGACAGTGGCTGATTTCTGAATGCAGCTTAGATTTGCTGTATGCTCAGAGCACTACAATATATGGCTTAAAAAAAAATCCACCCCACCACCTCCACCACCACCACCACCACCACCACCACCACTACAGCAGAATGCTTTTGGGGTCTCTAACACTGTTCACTCTTTAACAATGATTTGATTATATCCCTCTTAGGAGAGACATAGTGGCATACCTGAGCTGCACAATCAAAAGCTGGCCCCATTTTGGAGGTAGAGATTTGACCTCCCCCCAATATTTGTGACAACACAATCCTGAAAAGCCAACAAATGTATACTCTAGAAATCAAAACCTAATCTCATTCAATGCAGAATGTTTGGTGTAATGACAATGAGGGTTGGACACCCAGAAATCCTGCCACTTGCACTGTGCTTGTTGTGTCTTTAAAGAACCCAGTTCCTCAAACTTGAATGAATTGTCAATCCTTTCAGAAGCTGGAGACCAACTACTTAGCTCCCTCCCCAGGCAGGGGAAGATGGAGTTCAAATGCTCTGGAATCCCTGAAATGAGGCAGAACACAATTAAGCCATCTCTGAGCTTTCATAAGATGATCTTACAGTATTTTCCAAAGTTTTCACACCCCTTTCTCCAATGTTTGGGCAGGGTTCCTTCTAATGGCATGATTGTAATCATGCCTATTGAAATGGGTGGAGGGGTATTACTACCAAAGTAACTCCTTCTTCTTCTCACTGCACTTGGTGCAGCAGGACACCAATTATAGGTGTAGTCCTGACAAGACACACATCCAGAAAGAACAGAACCAGGCATATTTTAAATAGCTGAGATGACCCCAGACAGCACCATTACTTTTGTCACTAGTCAGAAGTTAAGAACAGTAGAAATCCACAAGGCTTATTCACAAGCCCTTATACAGATTTTATTGAAGTTTGCAAGCTAAGAAGGAATTGATAGAGGTCAGTCTCTTTAATAGGAAGACTTCAGATGCCCCTGGCAAAAAAAAAAAAAAAAATTGGTTAGAAAATAGGGACAGGATAGCATCTACTGAAGCTTTGCCTGTGTGTGTGTGTGTGTGTGTGTGTGTGTGTGTGTGTGTTTAAATGAAATTGATCCCATGGTGCCTTAGAAAAAGAATCTCTTTTGACTGAAATTGGTGTGAGGAAGTTAAGTACTGAGGTAATTTTTCTATCTCTTAGAACACTAGAGGTCAGTATTGTCTTAATGATGCAAAGGTATGGTGTCAAAAGTAGCTGAATTTTCCATATATCATATTTTTCTATATGAAGAAACTGACTACTTTGAATGCAGGATCAAAGTGAGAATGAGAAAGGGGAATGTTTTCAAGAAGTTACTACAATGGTAGCCCATGTTTGTGTGGGAGAGTTTTTAATGGACAAAAAAGATGTAAAGAAAGGCATTTTCTTTAAATTATTTGAATTACAAATCATGTTTTAGTAAAGTACATAAATGCTAACTGGCATGGATTTAAGACTGAGGCTTGTCATTACTAATGCAGCAATAAAGCAATTTCAAACATTTAAAAGCAAACTTTGCACTAAATGAGTTTTACTATTTCATCAGTGACAACTTAATTTCTCTGTTTCCAATCAACGTTTCTATTTAATACACACATAGAGCTTCCCAAACATTTTTGAATGAGAATTAAGGCATAATAAGCAATCTTCTTATTATAATGTACAACATTTATTTATTCACTGAGAAATGAGTTACTTGCAATGAATTAATCCTGAACATATTTGTCAGTGGTTCTCAGTTTTGATGAGCCTATGAGATCAATTGGCCCTAACTCCTCTATATTCTGGAGTGCACACATCATCTTCTTGAAATGTAAAGAGCAGTGGCTTAATATGCATTTATAGTCATTTACCACTAGCATACTTGAGTATTTAGAAACACACGGTGAAATGTTACAATTCCAGAGTTGGAAAGAAAATTAAACCAAGAATCTACCTGAAGCATGAATCTTAACTAAAATGTTTTCAGTAAAGTGGTCACCCACATAATCTCTGCTTGAACACCTCCAGTTATAGTGATCTCAATATCTACCACTGTAGCCCATTGCAATTTTTGAGAGATGGAGTTATTATGAAGATCTTCCTTAAAAAAGAGTAAATCTGCCAAAATTGTTTTTCACATAGAATAAAATTAGTAAAGAAAGCCTACTAAATATTTTGGAAGGAACTTTTTTTCCCCTCTCACATTTGCTTTTTCCACATGTCAAAATGATATTTCAAATCCCTTGAGACAATATTCTTTATTATGAATTATTTCACAAAGAGTCTTCATATCTGATAATAAAGAGACTTAATTTGAATAAATGCTATCTGGCTTTGGTACTGTTCATATGCCTATACATAAAAAAAAACCTCTATTTAAAATTCAAGTCAAAATTCAGTTACCCATTCCTTAAAATAAATCTGGTCATTCTTTCCCAGTTATGGGTTTTATAAGTTTGTAACTAAGAAAAAAATCAAATAAACCATGTTGAACTAGAAAGCTATACTGAGGATATATTTGGAGACATTTACAGAGATCACAATAAACTCTTTAAAAACATGTCAAGTTTTCATGATATTAAGTAACTATAAAGCATGACTTTTGGATTTTCCCTAAGGATATGAGTTAATTTTCCAAATGTAGTGATAATTGCCCAGAAGTAAACAGAAAATCATTTTTACCTACAATTCTGAATCCATGACACCATGAAGAAACAATGTGATTACTTAGAAAGCTAAAACCAAAGAAAATCCAAAGTTAAAAGAGCTAGATTTGTGGTTCTACTTATGCCATAAGTGAGCTATAAGAATACAGTCTGGTTATGCAATAACTTTGTGCTTCAATCCACTAAGGTACAAAACAAAATTTCATAAATTTTCTAAGAAAAATAGTTGCTAATGACCTTTAATTCTGAAAGAAAACTTTAAATGTTACTTTCTATAGAATACCATCTACTGTCACAATTACATCTAACTTAGCAAATGCAAAGAAAGTGAATGGTAACAAGAAGAATGGCATTATCAGATGGATTTTAATCATAAATGTCAATAATTGAAGCCATTTGCCTTATTATTATCTTAAATTTATCTTAGTCTTCTGAAAATTTCAAGACTCTTTGTTTATATACACTGAAGTACACTTAATGGCAGAGAGAAAGGAGATGCTAAGAAGGCACCTAGCCTTGTCTTTGAGGAGAAGGAAGGACTCCACTTCAGATATTTTGGAGAAACAAATGCAGATAACAATTTTAAACCTTAAAATAAGGAAATCCACAAGCCCTCTGAATAACAAGCATTACTGGAAAAACAAAAACAAAATTCCTAGGGGGTAGGGAGATGATCATTTTAGCAATCACTGAGTTCTTCATGCATCTTCACATGACATTTAAAGACCAACATAAATGAAGGAAGTCAGTGAGTAAATGTTCAAATGCATTTGAAACATTTTTGTCATGATGAGATGGACTTAAATGGCTACACTAGTATGAACTTCCACTTGCATACTAACAGGAAAACTAAACTAAATGAAAAGTTATTATGCAGTTAAGAATTATGAGAACATTAATCTCCATGAATATAAATTTAAAAGATTTAGAATTTCTGTCCCTTTGAAGTATGATCACTAATCTGCTTGTCTTTTGCCCATAATTTTATGACCAACCTTGATATGTTGATATGTGTGTGTATATATGTATGCATGCATGTGTAGATATAGCCATACGTTTATATGTGCATATACACATATGTACAATGAATGTATGCATACACACATCTCTGTGTATAAACATGTGTGTATGTGTACATGCATATGTGTGTGCATACACACATATTCTACCACTGTAGTTTTCATTTGGTGATGTCCAATATCCAAACTCCTTTTATTAAAACATCAGAACCTAACTAAATTGTGATCTGTTGTGATGGAGGTTTGGATCCATTTAGATTCTGTCTAAAAAGGTTTATTTACTGGAGGGACTTCATTATAACATAAGCATAACATTGTCCCAACAGCTGCTCCTCAAGCCTGGAGTTAGGAGAATCCAGTGAGGATATTTAAAGTGAAGAATGACATTCCATCATGTATGAAAAAAAAACAGAAAAAATGCACTCTGAGTCAATTAGATTGGGTTTTTATTCTCATTGTGGAATCAACTTTGTGTGAGATCTTGGGCAAGTTATTTTCCCTCCCTAAACATCAATTTCTTCTGCCATAAGATGAGGGTGGTGCCCTTGTCATATAAGGTTGCTTCCAGCTACAGACTAATTTAAATATAGATTCTGTCCTTTGGATGTCAGTCCTACTGGCTTCCATTTGACAACAGATTCTAAGGAAAAGAACCTTCCCATTTTCAACTCTTTATAAGCAAAAGTCTCTACAATCCAGCTGGTAGCAGAGAGTCTTATTTTATACAAAATAACAGTTATTATTTGTAGTGACCCTAAGTGTACTGAGAGGTCAGTTATTGATAATACTTTATGTCTATATACTGGAAAGAGCAATAGACTTGGAGTCAAGAGTGTGTGATATACCATTTACTAGCCATCTGACCCTGGACATCACTGATCTTCAATTTTCCTGTATG